AGTGGGTATATAGCTAAAGCACTATACCTAGAACTAGAATCATTTGAGTTTAGCTGCACGTCTCTAAAGACGGCTAAATCCGAATGATTCTAGTTCTAGGTCTTGTGTTAGTTCTAGTTTTGCACTAGTGTAATGTTAATTCTAGTGACAATAGTAGGTAGCATTAGTTAGCATAAGATATCACTATGTTGCATATTTTTATTGGACTAAAACTAGAACTAACACTAGACCTAGAACTAACCAGAGGAAGTGTAAGAGGAAGGAATAGGGAAAAGATTTATCAAACGCCATCAGACATAAGGATCAGGAGAAGAAGAAGAAGAATTTAAACAATGATTAATTTTCATAAATAAAATAAATTATCTGTGTAATTTTAAAGTTTATATCTTGATATTTAAAACCGGAAACAGGAAAAGATTTATTAAAAAAATCAACGTTAAGATTTATTTTTTAAACTTCTTGTTTTTCCTTTGCTTTGCATTCTGAAGGTGAAGGAAAACTTGTACATCTTTTGTAACAACTTCTCTTTATATAGAAAAACAGGAAGTTGTCACCCGGGTGATAAATTTATTGGTCTCGACGCAGCGAAAATTTATTCTCTTTATATCAATGCGTGTCTTGATGACTTTTTACGGAACGTCGCCGCATTGTTGAGAAGGTCGAAAGACCTCCAAGAATAAATTTAATTTCACTTTCATTCATAGAGTAAATATTTTTTTTAAGTTACCTAAATGTATATTTTATTTCTACGATAAAAGCACATAAAAGAAAGTAACACATTGATCTCTAGCGACCTTCTAATGGTAGCTTTAGATTGTAATACTTCAATTTACTCATTGCAAGTTTTCATTCAATAGCAATCAGTAATTTTTTAATTTTAACTTACCATTTGTAAAGCCGTCAAATACTTTTTCCACCATAAATACTTTTGATACTGGGGTCCCAAAGCGGCAAAGAAATAGTAACTGTACATAATAATATGGACGAAGGTGTTTAAAAACCCGAAAAACGTCGAATGACCTCCTGGCGTGAATTTAACGCCAAACCACACTGACATCGGCATTATTCCGTGATGAATTACGTGCAAAGTTGAAATGTGACCGTTCTTTTTACGAAGAACAAAAAATATCTGCAACAAAAAGAAAGATTTAAGTAATTTTAAGAAAAGCGAAAAGAATTTCTCAGCCATCAGTATGCAAAAAGTAGCCACTACTAATATAAGGCAAAGATACTGATTGCAGTAGCTGATCTATTTATTACTAAAGACTAGATATGGCTTGTAGAAGACTAAATATTATAAGCAAAACAGTAGATACTGTTGGCAGAATATTAGTTATTGCTAGTAGAAGAGTGAATAATGGTAATAAAAGACTAAATATTGCTTTCAGAAGAGTGTCTATTGTAGTGGTGGAACGGATATCCGACGTTTCCGGCCATTTTTTAAAATCCGGCCGAATACCGGATAGTTACCAAATATCCGGCTTTGACATACTTAGTACTCCACCATACACAGGAATTAGTATATCTTTTAGGTGTTGGACACTGCAGATAATAATCAAGTACAACCCCAATAGGACTTTTTTCATTGGATACAACTTTATTTATATCAGGTTTGTCTTTAGCAACCTCATTATTATTATTATATTATTACTAACAGAACTGTCGCTGTTACCATTTTCGATTATTAATTACAGTATCCTCTTCTTAATGTAAAAAGCCGTTTTGAAAAATCACTTTCAGTCCATTGAGAAATAAATTTTTGAAATGATCGACAATTTTTTCGAATTTTGCAATTTTCACCAATTAAGTTTTAAAAATTCGTATAAAATCCATTTCTTGGAATATGAGTATGAAAATTTCCCAAAGTGTTAATAAGAGTGTCCTCTTTCCAATGCACTAACCCGTTTTGAAAAATAACTTTTAGTTTTTGAGAAAACAATATTTGAAGTTTTGATAAAATTTTCGATGTTGCAATTATCCTCTTTTTAATGCAAAAAGGCATTTTGAAAAATCGCTTTTAGTTTTTGAGAAATAAATTTTTGAAATGATCGACAATTTTTACGAA